GTCAAAGATTTCAGTTGAAATTCCGTTCGGGAATCTGGTTACAAACATTAGCGACATCCTCCTGATTTTGAGTATTGTTATTTAACCGTCCTCGGATATTACTGTCAACGGCGAAGTGCATCCACTTAGTCCTGGTTACCTCTCGGGGTTTGTTTACATAATACGGAGACAAAGGGTCCTAAGCCAACCGGAACATCAACAATCCAGAACACCTAACGTTCTTAAAGTGTTTCGAAAATTCCGATTATTTGTGCCGGATTTAGTTCAGGGTAAACGATGGTTTGCAATACTGACGGTCTTAATTCGATCGAGAAAGATTTCTGTACATACATGCATGTCTAGCACCCTGCTGAAGCTCTCGGATGATTTCTGAGGTATATTATGCCTTTAATAAGTTCATACCGATTCGCGGTGTGGTGATTGCGCTGTATTAGAAAGGTGTAGCGGTGATCACGAGAATGCATGAGACCCTCGTGAGGCTACTCGGACGATCCCAAGCCTCCGGACAATTCAGTCAGTTTTTATTGTCTGGACACAAAAATGAGGATCCCACGTACTGCAAGCGACTTTGCACCAAATTTTGCTCAAGTAACCGTTCCCTGACATTAACCCTCGCAACCTCAATTCCTGGAATTTAGCGCAGAACAACCCGTGATACCGACGATCCTTTTTCCCACGCCCTGCCGTTTTTCCTCTTTGCTCATTTTCTAACACAGCCAATGATTTTACTTGTTACCCAGTTTCTGAAGTATGGCCTATGTCTTTTAAAATTATTTGTACATCTTTTCATGTTCCTATCAAAATGGCTTATTGTATTCATATGCTACAATATACACAGATCATACTATGGTAAGGGACGCTCACCGACCGTTCTTACGGAACTCACTCGTTCCGTTGTGCCTTATAGACTCTCTCTCTCTCTCGAGCCCAACCAGCAGCCGCTCATCGGCGCATGATACAGGCAGAGTGATTTTACCGACAAAGACAAGGGAGATTGCATACTTCGCGTGTATTGTCCATAAACCTCGTGCAGTGAAATGTGCGATGAAACACGCGTCTCGAAGCTTTCTCAAAATTGCACCTCTCAAACCGAGGCACCCGGCATGTGTCAAAAAAGTCGAGTGTAAGATATTAAATTACGTTCGCTTCCAAGGACGCGGGTAGAACTATAAAAGCACCGAGAGCCCATGAAAAGGTACACAGCAGTTTTCTTCACTGTGACTAATCCAGGCCATCGAAAATATTCCCACACAAAACAAGGAGTATGTCGTGTCGGAATTCGACTGGGACTAGGTACCTAATCAATGAATTGGATTATTTGAATTCTCCCAAAACAGCTCTGAAAAAGCATCCTTCCGAATTTCGATAATGTTTTCAAGGGGTTTCAACACATGCTGCCTCTCGACGGTCATACTGACTGAACATGGCGCAGTCGCCAAATGCATACTTTTGTAGAAAATCCATCAACCACCATCTTGAGCGACATTCCTTATGTCCGAAGTACTCCATGAGATCTTTCTCCAAAATTTATCACTACTTCAATTACTGGACGCTGAGGAAGTAACTAGTAGGCTTGTTGATCGCATCAGAAAATTCATTTTACTGCTGCAGTTTTCCAAAAGTCGTTTTCATGCACACCAGTTATATGGCCAAAAAGCAGGCGACCCCATTTAGCAAGTGGCAAAATAAGTCGAATCGCACATTACGACAGGAGGCCATTTTTATGGGGAATCGCGTATGGTTTCAAGGTTGCTGCAGAAACATAGGTTTGACCGGCGCAGAAGACTAAATGTAGTAACGCTGGAAGCCCGGAATCCACGATCTTACCGCACTAGTTCTTGTAACTCTTGCCATAAACATACAGCAACTACAGCGAACCCAGGACCGGTTGGAATGGAAGTAGCCACACATCAGTGAACAGGCTCAAGTGCGGAGCGGAGAATACTCGGGACTGTTGTCCTGCCTACATTCCTTTGCCGGCGGAGGCATTGGCAGTTTAAAAAAGTCAAACAAGAAGGCAGGGATTCTAAAAAGAGTCGATATCCTCTGTATCTACTTAACGCTGCGGCAGACACAACCGCGATGAAGCAGCCAGGTCATGTAGATGGATGACGCTCGCCTGAGCAAGCGACTGTTCTATGACAACATCGACATGAACTTGCACAGACAAGGCGGGCAACGGTCGTACTCAACGAAGTCCACAGTGTGCTCCACAGCATGGTAGAGCAGGCACAGTGACTTGAGCGTGAATTAGTTAACATTGGGAGCAGACTTGCGCCGCATCTACCGCACCCCCTCCTCCACACCTGGGTCAGGTGTCAAGAATTGAGGCGGGAGGGCGCAGGCGGCCGGCGCGACCGGACCCGCGCCTATGCGTACCAATACACCCCCTGGTCCACAACAAAAATACTTCATCAGTACTTTAACCAACAACACCGCGACGGGTCAGGAGAAAGATGACTGGGCAGTCATGTTTACGACTTGTGCACCCAGCAGGAACGCAAGCGCATCTACCGGCAGGCGACCAGGGGCCAGAGAACTGCCAGCACACGCCAGGCCGCCAGAGCCATGGGTTGCTGACCATGGCATAACAGATGCTTACAAACCTCGAGGCCCAAAAGGTCGATCTAAAGGCACCTGCAGATCAATCCTGAGTCCTGGGAAGACCTCGCTCAGAACTAGGCCTAGCACACTGCTGAAAAGACTGACACAGCCATCTTCGAGGTCTACTGAATACCCGCTACCAAAGCAAAGGTGGGGGTTTTCAAGAATTTAGGTGTCGCAGACTAAAGCCGCAAAACTCCCACTTCTGCCAACGTGTCCACACTTTCGACGGACATCCATTCACCTGTTGGCCTCATTAGACTTGATCCAGTGCAGTCAGCACATCAATGCGCCCTCCCACCTCAAAATAGGAACTGAATGGAAAGCAGAAAATGCAACGTTTGAAAGCTTGCAGGATGTTGCTTTCTCATAGAAAAATGATCCATTCTTGAATTGCATTGTAACGGACAGTGAAAAGTGGACCCACCACGATAACCGTAGACGTTCGGTACAGTGACTGAACAAGAACAAGTCCGCAAAACAGCCCAAAGCGCAATATTCACTAAAGGAAACTGGTGGTGGGTGTTTGGTCTGGTGCCGGCATGACCCATTATGATTCCATCAAACCTGGCTCATCGACCACGACAGCAGACTGCAAGCAATTGGTCCAAGTGATCCAAAAACTAATAGAAGGACAGCCATGATTGGTCAACCGATTGGCTCCCACCATATTGCACGACAACGCTAGACCACACAGCGCGCAAACGACTGGCAAAATTGCAGGAGTTGGAAGTTCTCCATCATCCACTATACGCAACAAATCTTGCCCCTACTGACCACCATTTCTTCCGGAGTTTGGATAACATTTTTCTTTAAGAAAACAATATAATTCCGACAGTGGTGCAAAACAAGCCCTTCAAGATTTCACTGACTCTCAATTACCAAGCTTTTACACCACTGGCCTGAACAGGCAACCGTTGAAATAGCAAAAGTGTGTTGACAATATGGCGGCATATTTTGATGAAAAAGGTTACTCTTTATATTCGTGAAACGGTCGGATCTCATTTCGTAGCCGTCCCTGCAGTTGACAAGCCACAGCCTAGCCCCAACCCCTTACCCTCAACCTTAACCCCTAATCCTAACCCCTTACGGGTACGGTTACGAAGAAAGATCTTGCCCATGAAACATTATCAAACTTTATTTCTACAAATTTCACATTTGGCGACCCGATAGGCATAAAGACGGCACATTTCTTCAAAAGGGTTCTTTACAAGCAAATTGCGAGGTGGAGGGGAAGAGTGCTCCTATAGGCAGGCCTAGCTTCAAATAGGTTACGTATGTACAGGGCTTTCTAAGTTTCCTAATTATTGTTAAAAACTGCGCTGCAGCGTGCTGCCAGCAACCTGAAGGAGGTACTCCCTGGCTTCGGAGCATCTGAAGTAGCCCAACTGACGCTGGGCCTCCTGGAAATGGAATTCAGCCAGGATGCGTGTCTGTCCGATTGCATTGGACTAGGCAAGAAAGGAGGAAATGAGTAAGATTAGAAATAACAAAACAGCCCATGGCTGCCAGACCAGCTGCAACCGAAGTTGAGAAAGGTGCAAAAAGATCCGGTAATAATTTAACAACTTTTTAATCATCTGACGTATGCAGGTGCGGACGCTTGGGAGTATCACTGTTTTGGCGCAAGAAAGTACACAAAAGTAACATCCGAGGGGAAGCCTAAAATCAACTACTCTTCTATAAGTGGGGTTAACATGCTACAAGGCAGGTGGGATTACTGGCGTGTAAAAACCAACCAGGAGGTGCTACAGAAAGGGTATGCACTAGAACTTAGGCTCTAGTAGAAGATTTGCAAGGTCAACGGGAGCAAGCACTTTCAAGACAGTTGACACTGGCACGCATCGAAGTCCCTCTTGGAACACAGTCTACACGAAATTAATAAGTGCAGACGCTATCGAAATGACCCGGCTCCTTTGGCCTGATCAATATCTCAGAGCACAGGTCAGGAGAGATAACAAGAATCATCAGACATGGGAGTATCGGCAGTATGATTGGTCAGGGAGAGTAACGAAGTCATTTCAACAAACGACGGCAACGGAACCCGCCACACCTCATCCTTAACTCAATTACTGACTCCGTTTTTTTTCATGAACGCTTGGACTCATGTACGTGGTGTAGACGCAAAGAATTTCCTAGCAACGCTGGCACAGGAGAAAACTCAAATATAAAAAATCCCAAACTTAATAAAACCACGAGTTCTAGTGACGGCGTATGTGCCAGCACTTGTACATTTAATGGCGGGATCTGCGGTAATGGGTTCCACATGAAGGTAGTAGCAGGTCGCATCATTTTTCTCGTGCAAGTGGTTACTGTGCCTAACGTCCCTTAATTGGAATCTAACTCTCACAGCGGCCACAACCCGGTAATCGCCTCGATCGGGAGGGCTAAACCAGATGAGGGTCTCCGGTGCTGTGTTCCCCACACCCCGTAATCCTTTCCCCATTCCCGTCCCTCCCTACCACGGCCAACAGGTTGCTAGAACGAGTCAGCTACCTTTGGCAGCCTGGAATGTTCGTTCACTTTTAGACAATCCGAGGAGCAGTCGGCCGAAACGAAGGACGGCGTCAGTCGTGCGAGAAATGACGCTCTACAAAGTGGGAAACGCTGCTTTCAGCGGGATCCGCTTCTCCGAGCAGGGCCGGCTGGAGGAGGTAGTTGTCCGCTACACCGTGTTTTGGGACGGTCGCCCAAAGGCAGAGCGATGCGACGCAGGCGTCGCCTTTGCCATTCGTAACAACATCGTTGGACGATTGCTCTGTTTACTGCAGGGCGTCAGCGACCGACACATGAGCTTGCGCCTGCCTCCTCGGGGAGCCAAATCCGCTACCGTCGTCAGTATTTACACCACTTCCCTCCCCAATGACCAGCTCCAAGAAGGCGAAGGTCAAGTTCTGTGAACTCCTGGCGACTGTACCGAGGGCGGACAAGCTGGTTGTCCTTTGTGACCGGACACTTACCACGATGAGCACCCCAGGATCCGTAGCGCCTACAGGACCGACAGACGGCGCATGCAGGCTTCAGCGCGTCTGTGACTATTATCTATGACCTGGTCCTCGCTGGGGACTGCGCACTCAACACTAAGACGGAAGCTGACACGCAACGGAGCATGAAACTTTTCTTCTCCGACTGCGCTAACTTCAGGTAGATTATCAACACGGACGAAATGGTGGCCATTCATCAGTCATCACCCAATGCTGCATACAGTGCTCCTCGCATCCACGTCAACATACCCAAATGAAGGCCGTGGACAACTTAGCCCACTTAAGCTGAACACTCTCATGCTTAATCAAAATCGGCGACGAAGCGGCTCACCGGATCTTCAAAGTCAGCCAAGCTTTTGGTCGACTGCAGTCTTGCGTAGTAGATCGCCGCGGTCTCCACCTTAACACCAAACTGAAGATGCACAAAGCAGTCATCTTGAACACTGAGACCTGAAAAGTCTACGAGAAACAAGTGCGGAAACTCAATCCCTTCCACCTCAGTGGACTCCAATGGAAAATAAAGCTGAGGTGGCAGGAAAGGATCTCCGACGCAGAAGTTCTGGAACGGAATGGAATTCTCAGCGTCCACGCCATGTTGAGGCTATCGCAACTACGATGGAACGGTCAACTCGAGATGGACGACGTGCGCCCACCAAAACAACTTTTCTACGGAGATATTGTTACAGATGCGCGCCGACAAGGAGGTCAAACCCGTGGAGAATTCAATGAAGCGGCCACAGATCAATCCGAAGACTTGGGAAGATCCTGCACAAGACCGACAGATCTGGAGAAGAGCAGTTAAAACTGCAGCAATCATCTATGAAGCCAAACGGATCGTCGCTGGAAAACTCGAAAACATCAGCTCAGGCGCCCCTGACCCATAATGACAACCTCTTTCAACATGCCCACGCTATCGACGAACACTTGAGACGCGGATCGGCCTCACCGGACGTCTTCGGACTCAGTGCAAC